CTCCCGTTGCGGAGCACAGGCTCCGGACGCGCAGGCTCAGCGGCCATGGCGCACGGGCCCAGCTGCTCTGCGGCATGTGGGGTCTTCCCGGACCGGGGCACGACCCCGTGCCCCCTGCATCGGCAGGCGGCCTTCCAACCACTGTGCGCCACTAGAAGCCCCAACAGAGGCAATTTAAGCAGAGTTTTAAACATTTATAATTTTTAATGTGTTTAGACTGTATCAAACTATCAAAGTCTTCTAATTCAGATTAGTGGAAGGACAATCTGAATTATACTTTTGAAACATTTAACAAGCCTTTATTGAAATAATATTGAGGATAAATAGCCTAGTGCAGTAATGAATACTTGCAGAGTGTTTACAGTGTTCTAGGCACTGTTCCATGTGCTTTACATACATTAAATTAATGTAATCCTCCCCAGATCCTATGAGGTATCAAGTCAAGTGTTCCTGATGGTGATGAATGTCAAGGAATATACATTTCTTTTGCAGGGCGAAGTCTATTTTTTTGTGGCTCAAACAAGACATTTACACAGTTGTCCAATATCATCATTTTTCCCACTGTCTAAGGTGCTTAGTCTTATTGAGCATCATACATGGGCCATCAGTAGTCCAGGCACAGAGCATACACTCATACAGAGCACCAAGCATGGAGTCCACTTCCATCCCTAGTCACTCCTGTAGCATGAGGTAAAGGTCAGCTTTGTATGTCATCCTTGAAGCTGAACTCTGAATTTGTCAATAACATGCTTTCCAACATACATTTAGACTAGAAATAACACTAATGCAGAGTTACCAAGAGAGTTCTATAAAACGCAGATGGGGCTCAATGTGGGACGGGGTTGGTGATATTGCACGGGGAGGTAGACTGAGCAGAGAAAAAGAACTGATTTGGGCAAGAGATAGTTTACTTTTAATTGTGTTGCATTTGAGGTAAATGTGAAGATATGAAATTGGTAATTGGAAATGTTGAACTAAGGAGAAAAGTCAGAGCTGGATAATAGCTTTGGAAGTTTGTTTGCATAGAAGGTATAATTGAAGTAATAGGAATAGGTGATCATAAGCTGGTAAAGAAGGATGGCCAGTTCTTGTTGGGAATGCCCAAGTTTTAGACTTGATCAGAGAAGTGATAAAAGCATTAGGGCCCAACATTGCTATGTCATCAAAAATGTTGTGACTATCAAAAAGAAAAATGATTGACAGAGTGTAATGTTATGGAAAGGTTGAGAGTGAGGAGACTTGCTTATAAGGGTCCTTAGAGCTGATTATCAGATATATGATACCTTCAAGAGCAGTTTCTTAGCATGTGGGTTGGTGAAGGGAGGAAATAGAAGCTATCTGAGACAGTGGGGCCTGGAGACCAGTTTGTAGTGACTGAGTTACACTGTGACTTTCTTAATATATCACCCTGTAACATGTACGTTTCTATTTATGTTTTCATAGCATGCTTTAAAGAACGGTGACACTTCCGAAGTTTCAGAAAAACCAAAAGGCACACCTAAAAGAAAACCTGCTAAGAAGAATAAAAGCCAAAGAAAGAATACCACAACTCCCTTGAAGCAGGTTATTTTAAAACCTTGAGATTTAACTTCAAAGAATTTCTTGTTACTGTCCTTATTAAATAGTATAAAGTACCTTTAAATTATTAGGACAGTGTTTTCTATTGACATATAATCATAAAATTCCTAAAGCACCTATTAAACTTTCTATTGTTTAGGAACATGCATGTTAATGTAAAGAATTAGGAGGAAATGATAAATACTAAATTCAGGACAGTGTTTATGTTGGGGGTAGAGGGGAGGAAGGCAGTGCAACTTGGAAGAAGTACCTGAAGGCTTAAACTGAATTGGCAGTGTTTGACTTTTCTAAATCTGAGAGAGGTATCCTTTTTTTTTCCTTCAAAAATCCTAAAACTATTAATAACCTGGGGACCAGATATTCTGGGTAGAGTCATTTCTGCTATTTAAAACAGTCCACATAGAAGCTAATTATTTTGGTGTCTCATTAGTTGCTTTAGTTTCATCATTACCAAGGGGGAAGAGAGCTGATGTTTGATAAGCACGTGCTATGTGCTGGGCTAGCATACTGGACACTTTACATGCTTCCCCTCTTTTCTGTTCTTCACAACAAATATATGAGGCAGATTATACTACACCCACTTAACAGATGAGGAAAATAAGACTCAAGGAGATTAAGAAACTGGTCCATGATTATATAAATGGCAGGACTATGTCATGTTATATTTATATTAGAATTCAGATTTCTGTGTTTTTGGCCCCAAGTTTTTTCACTATAACATTCTGCCTCCCAGAACAGTTAACCGGAGACTGTCCCCTCCATCCCCAACCCCACTCCACCCAAACAAGATTATAGTTTACCTTCTTTTAAAGAAATGTGTGTGTGTGTGTGTGTGTGTGTCTATCTTTGGTTTCTTTTATAGTGGAAAGTTGGTGACAAGTGTGCTGCCATTTGGTCAGAAGATGGCTGTGTTTACCCAGCTACCATTGCTTCGATTGACTTTAAGAGAGAAACCTGTGTTGTCATTTACACTGGATATGGAAATAGAGAGGAGCAAAATCTGTCTGATCTACTTTCCACAACCTCTGAAGTAGCTAATAATATAGAACAGAATGCTCAGGAGGTAAGGATAAAAAAATGGAATTCTTGGAAGCAGAAACTAGATGAGAAATTAAGCAGTATAACTGGTTGTCAGTTTGATCCACTGAAGCATTATATTTTTCTTAATGATGCCTGTATAACAAAAGTACATGTATTTCTTTCTCTTAAAAGAATGAACATGAAAGTCAAATTTCAACAGATGAAAGCGAGAACTCCTCCAGGTCTCCTGTAAATAAACCAAATAGCATCAAGTCAAAAGCTGCTCCATGGAACTCTTTTCTCCCTCCACCACCCCATATGCCAGGATCAGGTCTGGGACCAGGAAAGGTAAACTTCTACCCAGAAAAGGTTTCCCAGGAAATAGTTAATATAGTATTGGAATATTCAGCCCCTCCATTAAGTGACTTGTAGCTTTTCTCACGAAACTTTTTTTTTGGCTGCGCCCTGCAGCTTGCAGGATCTTAGTTCCCGGACCAGGGATTGAACCCGGGACACCTGGACTGCTAGGGATTTCCCTCATGAAACTTTAGTAGCTTTCCATAGATGTTGTAAATACATACCTGAGAATTCTTTGAAAAGGAAATAAGATAGTAATGCAGAATAGTTTATAATGAAAGCCTTTCCTAACAATTTTTATAGAGTATTAGGTATATTAGAGTAATAACTTAGCAAACTTTTGGAGATTGATATATATACTCTACTATGTGTAAAATAGATAACTAATAAGAACCTACTGTATAGCACAGGGAACTCTACTCAATGCTCTGTGGTGACCTAAATGGGAAGGAAATCGAAAAAAGGGGATATATGTACATGTATAACTGATTCACTTTGCTGTACAGCAGAAACTAACACAACATTGTAAAGCAGCTATTCTCCAATAAAAATTAATAAAAAAAATAGTTTAGCAAACTTAAGTTTGAAAGTATAATATTTTATCATCAGCTGGATGTTGTGCTGTAGTTCCCTGTGTCACTTGTATAAGGTATATAAAAACTGGAAGAGAACACAGTATTTACATCTGATACAGGTGAAATCCAAAGAAGCTGCCAGACTGTTTTGTAGAGCAAAATGTAAATACTGTTTTTATTTATGGTTCTTTTGGTTATCAGTAGCAAATCATCTTAAACAAAAAGTATTTTTAGTTTAGGTTATATCATGGAATCAAAGTCCCTGTCCAGTAGTTTTGTATAAAGCATTGATTTCTTCAGGCAGTGATAATAATAAAGATTTTAAAAATCAAGCATGACATTAAAACTTTTCCTTAGGATTCCCTGTTGAGAGCTTCCTTATTGAGGTTTATATTCTATTACATTTTTCAGAATGGTCAGACCTCTTAATTTATATACATAATAAACATGCTTCATTGGTCTCAGGGGGCTGATTTTTCTTAAGTGAGAGACACTAATTTTTATAATACGTCCAATAGATTATGCAATTTAATTAATGAAATTGCGGGAGATATGGTCTTTTGGTCTTTTATGATGGAAATGTCTTGCTGAGTATATGGTCTCTGATTTATTAGGTAATTTTAAATTTTTCTTACTTTGGCTTTACTGCCTGAATGTCTACATAGAAAGGAAACGAGAAAAATCTAAATTTATGAGTATATATGACTTCAGCATTTGGTGCGTGAAATTCTGTTTAACCGTTTTGATATGAATAATATAGTTATTATTCTGGACAATTATTTTGATTCTTTTGACATTGAATTCTTTTTTGCTCTTTACATATTGAAACTGTTAAATTGGTCTTTCTTTGAAATGTTCTTTACAGCCAGGTCTAAAATTCAGTGGCCCGCCGCCGCCACCCTTCCCGTCATGCTGGCTGCCTCCATTTCCTTCTGGACCACCAGTAAGTGCAAAAGAATTCAGATTAAACTTTGCTTTCATACACAGTTTGGGATTTAGCAGAACATAGGTAGTTCGGAAATGTCACAGCCAGGTTCTGATGGGTAAAAATTCGGACTAAACTTCAGGGGTTTTTTGTTGTTGTTGCTTTTTATTTTTGGCTGCATTGGGTCTTCGTTGCTGTGCGCGGCTTTCTCTAGTTGTGAGCGGGGGCTACTCTTCATTGCGGTGCCCAGGTTTCTCATTGCGGTGGCTTCTCTTGTTGTGGAGCACGGGCTTTAAGCGCGCGGGCTCAGTAGTTGTGGCTTGCGGGCTCTAGAACGCAGGAGCTGTTGTGGCACACAGGCTTAGTTGCTCTGCGTTGTGTGGGATCTTCCCTGACCAGGGCTTGAACCTGTGTACCCTGCATTGGCAGGCGGATTCTTAACTACTGCGCCACCAGGGAAGTCCCAGGGTTTTTGTTTTTAATGACCTTCTGCTACCCAGACTCAGTCCTCTTATAGCCCATATTATTCATGCTTCCTTCCTGGCAGCAGTATCTCATTCTAAAGGAGATAGCGCCTATCCAAAAGGATTTATTTACACCATACCTTAGGATTAATGTTTTACCCTTCCAGGCATGGTCTGATCACATAGACTGTCCAGAAATCAACAATAGGCAAAATACAAAGACACTTTTTGGCAGACTGCGTTGGGGTGGGGGCAGTGCAGATGTTCTAGCCAGAACTTTTACTTGAAATGCTGTGTGGGTGTTTTTTGAGGAAAACCACAGAAGTATTTATCCTTGGTCTTTTACCTATAGCTTCATAATGGAACAGAAAAATAGGTCTAATGAAAGCAAAATGTTTAAATATTTTATGTGACCTGTTGCCTTTTGATTCTTATTCAATTTTATTTTATTGGTCTCTTGTTGTTGTTACTGGTTGGCTTTCTCCAAATCCCAGATTTTTAAAAAAATTTTAACTAGGAGATGACATGGAATGTAGGGAA